TGACAGAATTCTGCCTTTTAAAATAATTTATCTTATGTATCAAAATAGTGCATAAACCTAAGGATCAACTTTTGCACAGATCTCTCTAGTTCTGAAGGGAGGTAAATCTTACATGCAAACTACATATTTAAATGCTAGCATTTTATGGAAATTAAAATATAAATTAAATCTGCTGGAAAAGTTACATTACCACTTAGTTTTATAAGTAGTATGCTTTAAATCATATCAAAAGTAAAAATAAAAAGGCTGACCTAGACTTTTCTGTCAAATTACACTTAATTATGGAGATTCAGAAACTTTACAGGTAACTTTAGTCAAATTAGAAGTCTCTAGTAAAACACTTTCTCACTAAAATGTCCATATTTGTTTTAATTTTATATGTTTTTGTCCTCTTTCCCACATAAAAGATGTAAACTTTCTCACAAATATTTAATTATGACAATATGTTGTGATAGATCACTTCTTTATTTGTAAATGTTTCTGTCTAAATTTTAAATACTGGAAAAAAATATATATATAATATGTGGTAACTAGTCCCATGGTTATTATCCTCAAATTAGCAGAAGTTATGAAATTATTTTGTTAATTCAGTGTACAAAGCTCATGATATCAGGAATACATGGGATTTAGGCAAAGGTATTATATGTAATTTTTTAAAATTAATAACTTTTATACAATTGTGGTCACAGCTATTTATCTCACAATTTTTTATTGTTGATCAAAAGATAGATCCCAAGAGAAGAAAAGAAAGACCAAAAAAAAAAAAGCAAAATCATTTTCAACATTGAAAAGCAGCTCCTAGCTTACATTTTCTGTTGGTGAGAAAGTAGCTTAATCTTCATACTCATACAATTCTATTCCACTCCTTTAGCTTCTGAAATTTTTATCTATAACAGGAATCCTTCAGAGCCAAATGCATATAGCTTTGCCTTTTGTCATAACACTGATAAGTCTGTTTTTGTTTAAGAATATTAAAAATAAAACAGGAAGACAATGTTTTCCTAGCCATGCGAAAATAGACATCTGACTTGCAAGTTATTCAAAGATTCCATGCAGTGGTTATATTTTTATATTTTAAGACATTTTAACAAATTATTTGATGGTGTTAAGATTTCATATGTTAAACTATGTCTTGATGTTTCACATAACAAAGATAACACTGCTCTTCAGGACCAACTTGACAGAATTTGTAATTCTGCATTCAAAAATGAAATACTTCTGCCCTGGATGGATTGGCTCAGCGGATAGAGTGTCAGCCCACAGACCAAAGGGTCTTGGGTTTGGTTCCAAGTCAAGGGCAGGTATCTCAGTTGCAGGCTCCATCCCTGGCCCTGGTTGATGCTGGAGGCAACCAGTCAATGTGTCATGTGTCTCTTTTACATGGATGTTTCTCTCTCTCTCTCTTTCTCTCTCTCTCTCTCTCTCTCTCTCTCTCTCTCTCTCTCTCTCTCTCATCTCTATCTATCTCTATCTCTATTCTCTCAACCCACCTCCCTCCTCTCTACTCTAAAAAAGTTCAATGGAAAAAATATCCTCAGGTGAGGATTTAAAAATAATAATGTAAAAATTAAAAACAAATACTTTATTCCTAGTTTATTTGATTTTTAGTTTTTAATTAAAAATATAATCAGGGACTTATATATAGTCTATTATTAACTCACATTAGTGCACATTGAAAGGAAATTAATTAGAAGGTGGCCAATGGGGCGGAACTGGGGGAAACAGGCCTGACAGGCCTTGGAGTCAACCTCCCGATGTCCCCCCGCAGCCGCTGCACCCGGGGTGGAGCCATGGCTCAAAGGTGGTTTTTGGAGTGAGCAGGGTCCCTCTGGGAGGTGGGGTTCCCCAGCCTGGACTGTGGGGATCGGGCTGAAACTGGCTCTCAGACATCCCCTCAGGGGTCCCGGATTGCAAGAGGATGGTTCTTGGGTGACACACCCTGGAATTGGGCTCTCTCCTCTCTGGTTCCAGGTGCATCACCCAAGAACTGCCATTGCCAAGTCACTGCTGCTCAGAAGCTCCTGCATTGATTGTCTGCCCCTGGTGGTCAGTGTGCATAATACCTACCGGCTGGTTGGCCAGTCAGATGGTCACTTAGCCATATATATATATATATATATATATATATATATATATATATATATATATACATACAGAATACAGGACCATTATAGTCAGACAGCAGGGTAAAAAGTTTGTGCTTCCAAATCTTATGGTAGATAGTTCTGATATTTTCCTAATTTATCCCATTTGAATGTGTCTACTTTATTCCACATAATAATAATAACATTTATAGAGTGCTTTCCAAGTGCCAGGCACTTTACGTGATTTTTATAATTTCTTTCCCACAACCACTTGGGATACTAGTATGTTTCCTCTTATAAAAATAAAAAAATAAACGCTTACAGAATTGAAGTGGCTAACCCACAGTTGTGCACCTGATCAGGAAGGGTGCTAGCCTGGGTTCTCTGAGGAATGGGGCAGTGATAAATGTGTTGATATCAATATTTTAAGCACAGTAAATGAGTTGGTGAAAATAAATTTCTACACAAAATTGCATTATTGGGTTTGTCTTTCAGACACAAAGGAATACTTAATAGAAAGAACACTCTAAAACCCATAAAATGTATTGGAATAAAAACAAATCCCCTGTTCAAAACTAAAAACATGGCTGTCCCAACCTGACCAACCCATATTAAATATTAATTGTTCCCTTTGCTTTCTGCATCTGTGTGGGTTTCACAAAGGACACAAGACATAATTGCACAGGCATTACATGAAGTCATATATTCTATTTGTAAAACTGACTAGACATTGCCAACACTCACTACCAATGTCTTTAACAACATGATGATATTATAGTGGGTATTTGCCTTTTAATAAAAATATAAATTACTGTTTATTCCCCGAAGCTAACCTCACTCATGCTAAATTATGTATGTATCCATTTTAATATGTATTTTGCATCTGACAGGACAACTCTCCTTAGAACCCTTTCACTAACCCACCTGTCATTATGATGGGGTAAACAATGTCACCTTTCCAGTGCACGATGAATTACAAAGAAGTTGCAAAGTACACCATCCATCATGCTGGCACTGTGCCGGTTTTCCAAGTAGATCTCAGATATCACAAATGCTGTTTAGACTGTTACCAAAAAGCAAAAATTGGAAGCTTATCCCAAACAGTCACATGATGAATGGACATGACAGCTCTTCAAAGAAAAGGGGCACTCCTCTTCTACAAATAACCTTGTCAAAAGCAAAGTAGTGGGGAGCTTTGCTGGCAGTCAAATTAGAATAATTTAGGAACTTGTTAATGGCTCTGCCTGATAGAAATTCATGCAAACACAATGTACTCAAAATAAAAAATTAGGTATGCCTGAATCAGCAGCAGCAACCTCTCAAGCTTGATTTGAATTAGGAAATGGTCTGAAGGGATGCAGAAAAATTACTAGTGTTCTATTAATTAGAATATGTGAGTATCAATAATACATCTGTCTAAAACATGTACATAAAATATGCAAGTACTCCATATGCATGTAAAACAGTCACCTACAAATTGCTTTGCTTTTGAAAATCATAATACAACTAGAGCTTTAAAAATCCATATAAATACCTTATTAGATCCTTTATTGAATAGATATTTAAATATGTTTTTAATTGATATCAGAAAGAGGGAGGGAGAGGAGCGATAGAAACATTAATGATGAGAAATAATTATTGATCAGCTGCCTCCTGCACGCCCCCTACTGGGGATGTAGCCTGCAACCCAAACACGTGCCCCGTTGGGAATCGAACAGAGACCTCCTGATTCATAGGTCGATGCTCAACCACTGAGCAATACCATCCGGGTTAAATATTTCATATATTAATCAGAGCTAATCAGAAGTTAGATTCTTAAAAATCTGGCAATAATGAACAACAATCAGAAACATAACATTATTTCATTTGTATTAAGTAAAGCAATCTACAGTTTTATAAAAGACTAAATGTACTCATTAAGTCATATTTTTACAAGGAAACAGACCACTTGTTATTTAAGAAAACTAGTGACCAGTTATATATTGTATCTAACTGGCAAATTGTCTTTACTACAGCCTAGGCCAGGGGTGGGCAAACTTTTTGACTCGAGGGCCACAATGGATTCTTAAACTGGACCGGAGGGCCGGAACAAAAGCATGGATGGAGTGTTTGTGTGAACTAATATAAATTCAAAGTAAACATCATTACATAAAAGGGTACGGTCTTTTTTTTTTTTTTTTTAGGTATACTCATTTCAAACGGGCCGGATCCGGCCCACGGGCCGTAGTTTGCATACGGCTGGCCTAGGCTCTGTCCTCCAAGATTTACATATATTAGTCAATTTGATTCTCAAAACAACCTTATGATATTGGAAATATGATTAGCCACATTACAGAGTTGAAGAAACAGCCCGAGAGCTGAGATTGAAACCAGTCCATGTGGCTCTAGAAGCCATGCACTTAACCTCAATGCCAAAAAAACACAACACCAAAAAACAACAAAAACTAACCCAGAAAATAACAAAGCAATAACCCACAGCTGGCCTTCTAGCTAAGGTGTTTTCCATTAAGAAAGTGGCAGTACTGTATTTCAAATCTTAAAAGTGTGAATAATCACATCAATTTTCCACTGCCCTCACCTCTATTCCTTCTGTCCATAGCAATCTATTAAAATCTGCCTTTCAAAAAAAAGAATGAAATGAACATGTACTCTGTGTACTAGGGAAATGTGAATGACTCAGTCACATGTTCAACACTTTTGAATTAAATTCTTCTAACGTGTTTTCACTTTCCAAATACGACAAGTCAAGAGCCAGGCAATCCAAATCTTCCTTTTCCTTCCCTGGCATCTCCACACTGAGGACTTTTAACAGTTACTTTTGTATGTTGCATCTTGCCAGTTAGTTCACTTTAGATGAAAGCTGCTGTTTTCTAATCCTATTTCACCGTAACTGACAGAGACAAATGGTCATATTACCTCGAGAGTTCCTTTGGCAGAATAGGCTGCATATGAGGAGAGTAGATCTTGGCTGCGGTGTGTTCTGGCTTCTCCATCGCAAGGCTGGCCATTAACATGAAAGCATTGGCCACTGCTGCTCAGCGTCACAGAGCTGGGAGAAGGGCCTGGCAGACTCAGCAGCACAGAGTAATTTACAAACTGCACATCATCTAGGCCCAGAGAAGTCCACTGAGCCTTAATCGTCTTTGAAATTTCTGTGTCATCTTCGCTTTTGTACAGTGGTATCAAATTTCTGAAAGAAATTTAAAAAGCACATTATAAAAAGATAAGAAAATCTTTATTCTTTTTAGTTGTGACTGTTTCATATATGGACAATTATTAATAGCTGTGGATATGAAAGATGAATGAGATGGGCCACTACACAAGAAACTCCCGGTTAGGTAGAGGTGATGAGCTTGCGCAGAAATCACACTAAATCAAAACAGAATGAATTAAGTTCTTAAGAATTAACAAAGCACTGTGGGACTGAACAGAACAGAGTGATTAATTCCAATCAGTTCTTTTATTTGTTCTGATCCTTCTATGGACACAATCCATTTAAAACTCAGTTCAAAAACTAGGAGTCATACTGGTTGAGACAGTTCTGTATTACTGTTACTATTATTTCATACTAGAGGCTCAGTGCATGAAATCCCTGCATGGGTAGGGTCCCTAGGCCTGGCTGGCAATGGGGCCAATAGGGGCCTTCCAGCTGCCGGCCAGGGCCTTCCTTCTGGCTTCTGGCTGGGGCCTTTTTTGTTCTGTGCCACCCCGTGGTGGTCAGCGCACGTCATAGCGAGCAATCAGTCTCCCGGTCGAATTCTCGTGGGGACAATTTGCATATTAGGCTTTTATATATAGATAAAACTATGTGATTAATATATAGCTGTTGCTATTGCAAATAATAGAGACAGAACCCGTTCTGATACAAATTATATGCCAAATTGCATGATGCTATGACCACAATGATATACAATAAAATCAGTATATCATGGTAAAACCAACCACAGCTTCTCAAAGCAATGTGAAATTTTTTTGTGAGTGCATGCTGAAGTCTATATATATTTACTTCTATACATATCCCATAATCCATAGTGATACTACATATTTTTGCTTATGATATCCTAGAAAAGAATCTGTTAAAAATATGTGTAGAACCTAGAACAGAATCTGACAAGGAAATTAAAAGATTATAATCCAATAAAGTTTTGTTTTGTTTTATGATGGAATTCACAAGATCACCATTCCCCCCCCCCAAAAAAAAAATATATATATATCCTCTTATGAGAATTTTTTTGCTATCCAAACTATTACCTAAGTGAATATTTGATAATCGTTGTTATTTTTGCCCATACATAATTTTTTTCTCATCCATAGTTATTACTTTTTGGACCCTGTTTATTCAAGAAAACCAAAATGAAATACTTCCAAAAATGGAATAAAAGTACACACAATGAAAAAAAAATGCATACAATAGTAAAGGAAGGCATTGCTGGAGACAAAAAGTAGGTCTATTAACACAGCTTAAAAGGAAGATGTAATAATATACAATGCCCCTGCTGTTTTTTATATTATTAAATGCTATTTCTATTCTTTTTTAAAAAATATCTAGTTTGATCAATCATCAGTACCATGTAAACTTTATGGAAGAGGTGATTAAAAAATTCTATTGTTTTTATTTTTATTCTGAATAAGACTAGTGGTCTGTATTCTATTCTGTTTTTGTTTTTGGGGGGGAGGGGAGGAGGGTGAGGATTTGGAGGTGTTAATAGACAAATGAAATTGTATATATTTAAAGTATACAACACAATAACCTGATATACATGTATATTATAAAATGATTATCACAATCAAATTAACACATCCATCAGCTCACATAGTTACTTTTGTGTGTATGTTTGTGTGTGTGTTGTGTGTGTGAGGACACATAATATCTAATCTCTCAGCAAAATTTAAGTATACAGCACAGTATATTAACTACAGTCACCATGCTGTACATTAGATCTTCAGAAGATATTCATCTTATAACTGAAGATTTGTACCCTCTGACCAACATCACTCCATTTCCTATAGCCCCCAATCCTTGGCAACTAGGATTCTACTCTGTTTCTATGAGTTTAACTTTTTTCTTTTCTTTTTTTTTCTTTTTTTTTTTTTTTAGATTCCACATATACGTGATATTATGCAGGACCTGTGTTTATTGGTCTGGCTTAATGAATCAATGCACTTATCATAGTGCCCTCAAAATTCATTTATATTGTTGCAAATGGCATGCTCTTCACTAAAACTGAATAAAAATATTCCATGTTTTATACCCCACTTTTCTTTATCCATTCATCTTATATAATAAAAGGCTAATAAGTAAATTGACCCAATGGCGGAATGACCGGTCTCTATGACGCACACTGACCACCAGGAGGCAGACACTCATGCAGGGGCTGCTCCCTGGTGGTCTGTGAACTCCCACAGGGGGAACACCACTCAGCCAGAAGCTGGGCTCATGACTGGCCAGTGCAGGGGTGGTGGTGGGAGCCTCTCCCACCTCCGCAGCAGTGCTAAGAATGTCCAATGCCAGCTTAGGCTCACTTCCTGCTGGGAGCAGGCCTAAGCTGTCAGTCTGACATTGCCTGAGAGTTCCCAGACTGTGAGAGGGTGCAGGCTGGGCCAGGGATCCCACACCCCTGAGTGCATGAATTTTGTGCACCAGGCCTCTACTTAGACTATAAACACTTAGTTTGATTTCATACTTTGGCTAGTAATTCCCAGTATAAAGATAACATAGTATAAAGTTAATACTAGAGGCCCGATGCATGGAATTCGTGCAAGGGACTTGGCCCTCGCAGCCGCGACGGCTTGCCTCAGCCCTTGCAGCCCCTGCTTTGTCTGGAAGGTCATCCAGAAGGATGTCCAGAAGGTCATTCAGCTATTCAGTCTAATTAGTATATTACACTTTTATTATTATAGATATTATGTATACAACAATATGGTATCTCTTCTATGTATCAATTTCATTCATTTTGGATATATACCCAAAAGTGGTATTGCTAAATCATATGGTAGTTCTGTGTGGTTTCTTTAATTGAGGAAACTCCATACTGTTTTCCATAAAGGCTATACCAGTTTACATCCCCACCAACAGTTTGAAAATGTTACCTTTCCTTCACATCCTTGCTGGCTTTTGCTATATCTTGTTTAATTGGTAACCCATGTGAGGTGATAGCTCATAGTTGTGCTTTGTATTCCCTGATGATTCATGAGACTGAGCATCTTTCATGTATCTGTTGGTCATTTGTACATCTTCATTGGAGAAATGTCTCTTCAGGTCTTTGTCCATTTTTAAATTGGGCTATTTTTGGTCTTTTTGCTATTGAATTGTATGAGTTCCTTATATATTTTAGATATTGAAGCCCTTGTCAAATATATGGTGTGTAAATATCTTCTCCATTGTAATTGTTGTTTTGTTCCATATGCTTTGGTTGTCATATCCAAAAAACTATTGCAAGACCAATGTCAAGAAGTATTCCCTTTTGTTTTGTTTTCTTTTAGAAGTATTTCAGTTTCAGGTCTTATATTTAGGTCTATAATTCATCTTGAGGTTTTCTCTGAACAGTGTAAAATAGGAGTCCAATTCCATTCTTTTGCATGTAGATATCCAGTTTTTCCCACAATTATGTGTTCTTGGTACCTTTGTCAAAAGGGATAGACCGTATATGCATGGGCTTATTACTGGGCCCTCTATTTTGTTTCATTGATTCTGTTTCACCACTCATTGGATTGGTTTCATTGATAACTTTAAATCAAACAGATCATTATTCTGTTTTTATGTCAATACCAAAATGTTTTATTACTATAGCCTTTTAATATAGTTTGAAATCAAAACGTGTGATGCTCTCAACTTTTTTTTTTTATTTCATGATGGCATTGGTTATTCAGGATCTTTGTGGTTTCTTACAAAGTTTAGGATTGTTTGTTCTGTATCTATAAAAAATGTGTTTTGAAGTCTTATAAGGATTCCGTTGAATCTATAGATTACTTTGTATAACATGAATATTTTAACAATATTAATTCTTCTAATTCAAAGCAGGATATATTATTTATTTGCTGGTATATATATATATTTAAATTTTTTCTATCAATGTTTACAGTTTTCTTTTCTTTTCTTTTTTAAATTGGAAAACTAGTCCGACATTTTCAGATTCATTAATTTCCTCATTTATAAAATGAGTACAAGAATACATCTCTCACTGTTTCTCAGTACAGGTTATACAAAATAATGTTATAAAAGTGTACACTTGCCACCTTAGATGCTTTAGATAGGTGACAGCTATTATTATCACTATAGTTTTTTAATCAATTTATTAATATTACATTGTTTGTTTTTACTATAAAAACAAAAGGTAAGGTAAGAACCATTGATTTAGAATAGTAGTTCTCAAAGTGTGTTCTCTGGAGCCCTCGATCCCTAAGACCATTTTAGGGTATCTGAAAGGTAAAAGTGTACAAGTCTTCCACTTCCTTGGTTAAATTTATCTCTAAGAATTTTATTATTTTAATGTCATTGTAAATGGGATTCTATTTTTTTTAAAAAAATCAATATAGTTAGCTGTGTATAGAAACTCAACTAATTTTTATGTTGGTTTTATATCTTGCAACTTTACTAAATTCATTTAAAAGTTCTAATATTTTTTAAAATTGAAGCTTTATGGTATTCTGTATATAAGATCAGTCATGTGCAAACTGAAAAATTTTCCTTCTTCCTAGCCGATATGGATCACTTTTATTTCTCTTTCTTGACTAATTCCTCTGGCTAGAACTTCTAGTAATAGGTTAATGGAAGTGTAGAGAGAGTGGGCATCCCATGTCTTGTTCTTGATCTTAGAGGAAAAGCTTTTAGCTCTTTGCTGTTAAGTATGATGTGAGCTGTTGGCTTTTAAGATATATCATTTATTATTAATACTTATTCTATATATATTTCTTCATCTACTGAGATGATGTTTACACTTTATTGTGTTCATGTGTTGTATAACATTTATTGATTTGCATATTTTAACCATCCTTGTATACCAGGGATAAATAATAATTGATCCTTTTTAACATGATGTTGAATTCTGTTTAATATTTCATTGAGAAGGATTACATCAATGTTCATCAGAGATACTGGACTCTAATTTTCCTTTCTTTTTTTTAAATCTTCACTGGAGGATATTTTACCATGGATTTTTAGAGAGAGTGGAAGAAAGAGGGAAAGACAGA